ATAAATAAATAATGAACTTTAATTATTAATAAATATTTACTATTTCAATATAAAAAAAATATAAAATGATATCATACCATTATTTCAATTTTGTAAATATATTATTATAGTATCAATATTGAATAGATGTTGTATTAGTATTGTAAAGATATCGAATTGATATCGAATTTATAACAAATCGATGTCATGTATATATTATTTCAATATCGTATCGATATCATTTTGACATAAATATGATATCAAATCGACATCGTAACTTTATTGTATCTATATCATATCAATACTATTTTGATATTAATATTGATATCATATCGATACCATTTCGATATTAATATCGTATCGATATTGTATCGAAATCGTTTCAATACCATTTCGATATTATTATCGATATTGTATGAATATTATTATCGATATCGTATCAATATCGTATTTACATTGAAATGATATAGTAAAGATAAACTTAACGACCTCAATTCGATTATCATCAAAGTATGGTAAAGTTATCATTAGAATTTTTGAGTTTCTGTAAAGCAATTCAGAAAAATATTCCTGATAATTTATTACATAATCCCTCTAGTATCCATTCATGATCAGTGAGATCAGATATGCGAAAATAATAATATAACCTATGATCTAGTCAAAAAGGGGTATTTCATCGATTTGAAATCTGCAGATAGATATAATATGTGAAAAAAATATATAGTCATGGGACCCCCATCCCAAGGCTATGTACTGATTTATTTGCATTGTAAATACATTTTAGTAAAATACTCGCGTTAGAGCTATTATGTGCTCTGATCCTAAAACATCTGTCTTGATTAATGCATCATATAAAGCACCTGGTCTATACCTTAAAGGAGTTAAATTCAGGTGATATAGGAGTTTTATAAGTATGTCGTTCCTCCAAGCTTTTGTCTCTTTATGCTTCCAAGATATCCCTATTAATGTTGTCACTGGGAATAATCTTCTCTGATTACTTCACGTAATATATCTAAGTTTCTTTACTGTAGTAAGTAACTTCCTTATTGTTGGACTTTACAACCTTAGGGAATCTTACATCCTACAAGTATTCAAAGTGCCTAGGAATTACTTTACTTGATTTATGAACTTAAGGGTTTAGGGACTTAGGAAAAATGTAGAGAATTTATTTATTCTAAGTGACGAACTCAATCGCAAGTTAGTGTAGTAGTTCACGATCAAATCCTAGATGATAGACACATAGAAGGGAAAAGTATTTTTGTTTTAAAAGTTGATTCCTTTATTACTTGAACTTGTAATAAAACTGAAACTCGCAATAGAGTTATTTTACAATGTGAGCAAAAAGCTATTCTATTTATACAAAATTAATTTGCTACGGCTAATTAATTGCTAAGCTATAAACCAACTAAATTTGTAACTACAAGTGTTAATATAATAATGATAATAATTATAATGATAATAATAAGTATAATAAAAATAATAAAAATAATAAAAATAATGATAATAATTAAAATAATAGAAATACAGAGAATTAGGAAAATCTAACGAATCATGATTATCTGACGAATCCAGTAAATTCTAAGAATCCTACGAATTCCTAAAATCATCAAAATCTGGAATTATGCAGATCTTTTAATTTATGATTGACATAAAATTAATTCTAGTAACTTCTGTAAATCATTTAATAATTCTTTGTAGATCAACTTTTCAATAGTAAATTTTTGGCTGATAACAATGTAGACAAGCTATTACTAGAATAATTTATTTGGATTAAATTCTGAAGTGAGGATCGTTTATTTTTTTCTAGAGTAAATAGACTCACTCCTCCTATTACAGTGGATACTATACTAATAGGAAATCTTTTACTAATATCTGATCTACTAGCTAGAATAAATAAAGGTAGAATTAGAGTTGGATAGTAAAGATCAAATAAGGGATCTAATTTGAATTTATTAATATATATGCTTCCAATATCTTCTAAATAATTTGAAAGTCTATTAGCGTATCTGTAGCCTTCATGAATCATCTTCTGTAATAACTTCCTATTAGTTTTGATCCAATGTCCAGTTAGAAGGTTAAGTACTGTTCTTTGCATTATGTCTATAACGTAAGTGAGAAAAGTTGTTTATGTCTTATTTTACTACCAAATAATTTAAATACACATTTATTATAAAATTAATCTGCAATAAAATTGAAAGGTTTCTATATCCTAAAATACTTACATGGATCTTGTTACTTGCCCGTATATCAAGAGAGATAATACTATTTGTGAAAGAGTCTATACTTGTGAAAAAAATATGGAAAAAAAATACTGCCTTGTTAGAAGTTGTGATAAGCTTACAGATTCTACTACAGGATATTGTCCCGACCATTCAGGTAGATTTCATTCGCTAAATTATCAGATGAGGTAGAAGTATAGAGTTAGTATTTCAGATCTACCTAAATAAGTGTAACCTTCTGCAGAATTATATTATATAAAATGGCAGAAGGCTACACATACCTGATTTGTAATTGAATAGTATTAGCATATATCGAATAAGTCCTGAATATCTTCTGTGATTTGTGTGTTATCCAGTTTGCTAGAACTAGTAAAATTATCTAATATTAATTCATCGGGTAGAAGTTTACTATATCCATATTGGATATCTTTTCCATTTATCTAATAAATTTCTTCACCCGTTTGATATGAAGGTAATTTAAGAGCATCATTAGTATTGAATGATCCATCTAGATAATAATATCTGTGACTCCTATCTATAGCCTTAAATTTCAACCCATAAGTTGCATGTAATGCTGAATTCAGTAAACCAAGTTTTGCTCGATCTGTTTTTAATGCTGATTTTTTAGCTCTATGTAACACATCTGTATTATCAAATACCTGAGCCATTCTGGAAAATAAATCATGAAGATATGATAATGATTCAGGAGAATTTAGACGCATCTTAACTTCATCAGATTTATATCTGGCTCTATCATCAATATTTTTAGCTGGTATGCAAAACTTTAATAATTCTAGGCAAATTCTATGCCTCTCAGCTCAGGATGCTATTGTAAGTCTATTTTCTCTGTAATCTTTACAGGAAATAGCCTCAACAGCTATTTCATTATTAGTACCAGCATTTCGTAGTTGCTTATAAGCTCTAAACCATTTCATGTGATTATAATTCCCATATTTTGAGATGAAGTTTTCAGTTAGTAATTCAGGTGAAACCCCATAGCAATCCACAATATGATACTAGTCTAAAGAGTGCATCTCTTCTAAAGTCTTCTTTGGTTTATTCTCTAATAATTCAGCAGTCTCATGATTGACAATAAAAGCATTAGATATATCTGATATCTCCTTTGCTTTAATAATAGAAGAACTCACCTTCACTATTTGGAATAGCAATATCGTAGTATCTTCAAGTTTAGGAATGAATTTCATGACAGAAACTACCATACCTGCCTTTCGGAGAAAATCAACCATTCTCCAACCAAATAAATGTCAGAAACGAAAATTTTCCAAAATATATGCTACCCACAATCAAATAGTTGGCACATCTTTATTCCAAATAATAGAATCTACATCTGGAAAAATCTCTTTATTCTGAAGTTCACGAGGGAGGCATTCTTGTTTGGCATTCAGTAATCATTTAAATAGTCCTTTTTCTGTAATGAGAACATTAGATGATCTTTGTTCGATATAGCATACATAATCCTTAATGCATCACATACAGAATAATATCTGATTCATTTTAGCATTCATTTCTATATAACTATTAAAGATATAAAATGCTCGTTCAAACTTAGGATTAATGCAAGATACTTCTATTTTTAAAGTACTGGTATAAGCAACTAGGTCAATGTCTTTTCATGATTCTTCTACATTGCTGAAATCTTGAGCTTTTTCCATTAGATCAGATTTACCGTGATATTCCTTGATTCTTAATTCTGAAAATTCAGTCTTGAAAGCATGAACAATTCCTTGTAAATCTTTTCTAAGATGACAAATAAGTGATGCACTTTTATGATTCTCAAAAGGTAACAAGGAAGTCTGTTTAGCATAATCCCAGAGTTCAACTAATATAGATTCTTTATTAGGAGCTAGGCGGAATGTTTTACCTTTCTGAGGCTGGTAAGTATTATGAATAATGAAGAAAGGTATATTCTTGTGAAGAGTCTTAATCCATTCAATATTAAGGTCTGTTAGATCATTATCCATAACAATAATACGCTTAGCCTCTTGGATTAATTTATATAATTTTTCTATTGATTGCCTTATCAAGCGACTTTGTGCTTGAGCAATTATAGACACTATTTCATCAAGTCATAAATCATATTAACTCGAGGGACATTTGCATTTTTTATTACATTTACATTTATTTACAATCCGATGTAAACTCTCTATTTGACATACTATCCTCTTGTGATCAGGTAGATTTATATTACCATCGATATCACAATATGACTTAAGATTAAGTCTTGTAGTAACAGCATTAGAATAAGAGTGACGCGTAAATAATACTAGCAAATTTACATTATTAGGAATAGCTAAATTTTTAAGAATATAAGTTTTTTTCATTTCCCAAGATGACTCCACATAAATATCACCTTCATTGGGTAATGGTCTTACATATTTCTTCTTATATGTTTCTGCGCTGTAAAAGAGTCATTATACTTGATCCAAGATAGGAATTTTACGAAGGCTTTAGGAAAATCTGGGCCTTTTACCTTGTAAGAGAATTGCAGAAAATTTTTATTTTTTTGTTGAATTTTTTCTGCAATAGATGGGTCACATTCAAAAATTTCTTCACACTCATTACTATTCTGCGGAAAATATTTTAAAATAAATTCACCACTGGCGTATATACGACTGAACTACCGCTGATTCTTATCATGTATACGTTTGCAGAGTAAACATTTTAATGAAGCTTTTCAGCTAAAATATACAAAGTTTTCTTCGTCCTTTTCTTTGATAGTCCAATCCTTAAGATAGGTAGAATATTTTTGCAAAACTAGATTTGCAAATTTCTGTAATACATCTTGGCTCACAGATATTCTTAGCAGATTATTATTTTTTCTGTACTAAGCATTCGAGGTCTAACTTTAAGCTCTAAACTAGTAGGTGATTGAACTTTAGCGTGATCAAGTTCATTCCAACCATTATCTAGAGAAAATTGAAGAATGCGTTTTACACAACCTTTTTTTGCTGAACCAATTAGACGAAGGTTAAATTCTGATCAGATAATTTTTGATCAATAAATTTACCATATTTTTCACCTGTTATGGTATATACTAATTTAGTAAATGCTTTGAGCTTATGATGATCAATAAGTAGAACTGGTGCATATAAAATATGGTAGCTACACTTACTAGAATCTGAAGATATAGTAATAACTAATCCATTGAGAATGTTTTTCCAACTACAGTCAAGAATTCGATACAATGTTCTTATGAAAGATAAGCAAATTCAGATGAATACTTCTTGCGTCTTAACACCAGTTATTTCCATATCTTCCTCTAAAGCATCTATATTGATCATAGCTCTTAAAGGTTTTTGACCATTAATGCATTCATGAATTCTAGATAAACTATATACTTCAGAAATATCATCGGCAACAGAAAATTTGGAGGCATGATCATCATCTTGGTCGATTTTTATAACTAATTTATCTTTCACCTCACTTCAGTCATAAGCATTATATAAGCTAAAGTCCTTTTCATTCAGAAAGAGGAATGAATAGATTGGAAGGCAATCCAATGACCCTTTATCGTCTGATATATCTCTAGGCGATGATGAGAAAATTTTCTGAATGGCATTTAGTAAATCCTTAGGGAAAAATTTATCATTGAAGTTTTCTTGCTTCAAAGTATATGTCACATTACTCTTTCATTCTTTTACAGCGTCAGTAGTGCTGATTGAAGTGCAGGAAGCTTCTTTGTTATCGAACTCATAATTAGACTCATAGTTATTATAATCATCTGATTCACAATCAGAATCATTATCATTACAACTGCTAGAGTCACTTAAATATTCATCGGACTCGACGCTATCATAGCAGGTGAGTGTTAGGCCAGATTCAGTATAATCAGTTTGAACAAAAATAGTTGAGGTATACATGACGTCAGTAGGTAAAACTTTATATACTCAAATATATTTCCAAAATATTTAATTTATTTTTTTCAATAGATGTGAAAAAGAAGCTATGACGAACTTAGTGAGCAAATTATAGAATAAAGGCATCTAACTATATCTAAAAATGTATAGTCTTCTCCGTAATTATATTATATAAAAATGGGAAAAGGCTACACTTTTCTAGATATATACTCAGGTATGATGAAGGCTTCTTTGGCACAAATTCTGCAGGAGAAAAGCTTACCCTGATTCTAAAGAAAATTGTTAGACTATTTTCTGCAGAAGCTATAGTAAACTTAGTCAGCAAAATATAAAAGAAAGACAACTGTATATATATCTAAAAGTGTAGCCTTCTGCAGAATTATATTATATAAAATGGCAGAAGGCTACACTTTTCTAGTATGTATCTAGGTATGGGTATAGGTATGGGTATGAATATAGGTATACAAACTTAATAAACAAATTAGCAAGAGAATCGCAGATAAATTGATTTTTAGTAGGTGATATTTAGGGTAGCCTTCTCCGTAATCATTATATAGAATATTGTGACAGAAGAAGGCTACTCTATTACTAGTATGTATCTGGGTATGTGTATTTGAGTAGCCTTCTTCATAATCATTATATAAAATATTGTGACAAAAGAAGGCTACCCTATTACTAGTATGTATCTGGGTATGTGTATTCAGGTAGTCTTCTCCATAATTATTATATAAAATTGGAAGAAGACTATCCTAATGCTAGTATGTGCTCAGGTATTGGTACTTTCATTGACGCATTTATTTTTTCATCTTCTAAAAAGAGACATATAGTAAGCTAGTAAGCAAATCATAAAAGGAAGACAAGAAAATATGTATCTGAAAGTGTAGTCTTCTTCAGAAATATTATATAAAAAATTGGAAGAAGGCTACACTTTCTAGATATGTGTTCAGCTACAGTATAGTCTTCGCATAAGATTTATTTACTTAATATCAGCTAACACAATTCTATAGCATAAAACTGACGAACTAATAGAATCTCTTTAGTTCCCCTCCAGTTCTATAACAGTTCCAAGAGAGTTCTATAACACTATCAGGATGCTATCACGACGCTATCATGATACCAAATTAGATCCTCAAATCACATGCGCAAAAGATTAGCCAGAGTTATACTATAGAGCCAGCCAAAATTAATTGCAAATTTACCGCGCCACCTATCGCCTCTTTTTTTACATAATTTCAGCATCTAGAAAGGCAACCAAATAAGCACAAAGGGTAAGCAACTCAATATAAAATCTAGCAATCAATCAGACGCAGAAGGCCAGCACCCTTGACATAAAACTAGGTATCCAAATAGCTACAGAAAACTATAGAAATGGGTATGCAAAAGATTCAGAAATAAGAAGAAAAGCGTGGTATTTAGATTTCATGATGTAGTTAGATTAAATGGTGGGTGATAGTTAGATTATATAATGGTAAATGATATGAATATCAGAAAGGGTTTAAATGAATAGCTAAAATATAAAATAGATATCTGATGCAAGAAAACAAATAGATTAAATGGTGATGATTAGATTATATTATTCAGATTATATAGTGGTAGTTAGATTATATCTTTTAGATTATATGGTGTTATTCAGATTTATGGTGATATTTAGATTATATAGTGGTATTCAGATTATATGACGATATTCAGATTATATGGTGATATTTAGATTATATAGTAGTATTCAAATTATATAGTGATATTTAGATTAAATAGTGGTACTATAATCTAGGGCAAGTGAAATATCACCATGTAATATAATTATATCATATGGTGGTATTTCACTAATCCAGATATGGCATTTTTCTGCTATATTCTCATCATCTATTAATCATATTGTCTTTTTATGTTTACCTTGATGGTTTACTGGAAGACAATTATATTGGAGCCAATAATTTGCCTAATATCTAATAGATCTTGTCTTATATGGGGTGAGTGCTGGGAAAAGGGACCAAATCGACCTTTTAACAAAATTTCTTTTTTTAGGTTTAATAGATTTAAAATTTGCTTAGGAACATTTTTTACTTAATATAGA